GTGGTGGGGGGGGGGGGGGGGGGGGGATTGGCACTCACTTTATGTGGTAAAAAGGGAGACCTTTTTTTGTCTATCCTTATTTTATTATTGACCACTGTTAGAAAGGCATCAATGTGATTCTGAAAGCTTGATACTTACATATTGAGTTTTTACAATCTGGGAGGAACAGAGATGAAGTTCGGAATTTTGATATTAACATGGTATCATTCTTCTTCATTTAAATCTCAATGACACGCAGCAGGCATTGCGAACATAAAGAAATACTGAAAAATGGGAATAATAGTAGAGTCTGATAATATGATAAAGAAGAATAGTTTGCGTTGATTGTGTGTGGTTCTTGTTTGGGTTGGGGGGACCGTGTCTATTCATAGCTTGCTTAGGATTTCATTCCTTAATAGGTTCTGATTAATATGATGGTGTTGATTGAAAGGCATCCTAGTTTGAAACTAATAACTCTGATTCCTGGTGGTGTGAACAGATGGCCGGTAAGTTGGTGAACATGAAGCTCCATGTACGAAGGTCACAGCGTGTCGTGAAAGAATCAAGAAGTTTGTGCACTTGTGATTGTAGACGTCCCAATAGTACACTAGTAGAGTCTGATAATATGATAAAGAAGAATAGTTTGCGTTGATTGTGTGTGGTTCTTGTTTGGGTTGGGGGGACGGTGTCTATTCATAGCTTGCTTAGGATTTCATTCCTTAATAGGTTCTGATTAATATGATGGTGTTGATTGAAAGGCATCCTAGTTTGAAACTAATAACTCTGATTCCTGGTGGTGTGAACAGATGGCCGGTAAGTTGGTGAACATGAAGCTCCATGTACGAAGGTCACAGCGTGTCGTGAAAGAATCAAGAAGTTTGTGCACTTGTGATTGTAGACGTCCCAATAGTACAAACCCACATCTCTTTTCTTAATTGTTTATTGCAGCGTCTTCCCTTTTCGCTTCTCTTTGTTCTTGTAATGTTTATCTCAATTCTTGGAGCAATATAGTGTAAGACCATATGGCTAGAAATGCTATATATAAGTTACTTTTTTCTTTTTCATGCAAAATTCACAATTCACTCAATCAAGTTCATCGTGTGAACGTCATCCCATTATGCAACCGTGTTCGCACTTAATAAATATTTTATTCTTTCTCCTTTGGCAATTTTGAAATATTTTAATTGTTTGCGAGAAAAAGAAAAGGATATAGCACGTGATGAGGGACAACTGGACAAGGTAATGTGACAGGCCATGTTGTTCGAATTCCACTTCCCCCTTAAATTACGGAATAGAAGGCCCACAGGGTTAGAGCTTGGGACGTGCAAACCATGAAAATCATAATCATCATTATATATTATATTGGTTGTTTACTTAATCAATTGTTTGTGTCACATGCAGTTGAAACTTCCAGGTAACAGGTCACCGACGGACGTACTGTACTAATTTTTTCCAAATTAACTTGCATATAATTTTGTATAAACAATGTGATTTACCCAAGTGGAAGGATTAAAGTAGGAAATGGACACCTCCCATATAACATAAAACTAATAAATAATAATTTTGACTCACCGTCTTCCCATTCTAGCATTTTCATATTCGTCGATTTAAAATTTAAAATACTTATTTTTAATTAATGGAAATATTGAATTCTGTAAAAAGATGTTTGGCCTTATATAATTTTGTATAAACAATGTGATTTACCCAAGTGGAAGGATTAAAGTAGGAAATGGACACCTCCCATATAACATAAAACTAATAAATAATAATTTTGACTCACCGTCTTCCCATTCTAGTATTTTCATATTCGTCGATTTAAAATTTAAAATACTTATTTTTAATTAATGGAAATATTGAATTCTGTAAAAAGATGTTTGGCCTGGTTTCTTGAAACAACCACCTATATAAATATATATTTTTTTTTATGTAGAGGCAAATGTGCTCGAATCAAGCAACATATTATCCAAGATTAAGCCCTTGTTTGGTTTTGTTAATAATTTAAAGTTTTAGTAGATTTTAATAAAAATGATGAAATGCATGATTTAAAATGTGAAAAAAACTACGGGTTCCATATAATGTGTGATTTTTACAAATTTTTATTTATTTTTTAGTTAAATCAAACAGGCTCAATGGAATTCTAGGAATTGTTTCATATTTTGCAAATATTATAACTACCTTTTCATTTATTTGTTTCTCTATCACTTGACTTTAAAAAGGACCATAAAGAAATCTTTGTCCGAAAAACTGTGAATGGGTCATCGTGTGCCAACATCCTTAAAGACAGTAAAAATGCAGTCCTGTCAACTGTGGTAACTAATGACATAATTCTACGATATAAACACACAGAGACACACAGGGTCAGAAGGAGAGAAGAAGCTGTCTGTGAAGAAAGTGGGGAGCCGGCACGGCGGTGGAATACCCATGCCATATATGTTTGTCTCAACCCCATTAAAGGTATAATAATACATTGTTTCAATTAATATATACAGTTGATGTTATATATACAGACTTTGAATATGAATATCGATACGTGTATTCAGAGCTTGTAATCCATAACTAACGAGCATAAAAAGTAGTTCAATTATTTTGTTCGTTACTGGGAGGAATATGAATTCTTGGGTCTTTCTTGAAATGGTTCTCTGATCTTTCCTTTTACTCTTTACTGTGTATGTTTGTTTTTCTGTATCACTTTTTCCTTTTCAACCTTGATTTTCTAAATCTTTATTATAGATCTGATTATAATTTAATGGATAATGTATCTGGATTGCTCAGTAGATTGAAGCTCTATGGCTTTGTTCTGACTTTAGAATCCAATTCTGACAAAGCAAAAGATTTTCTTTAGACACGATTAATATTTCATTTGACTAAATTCTCCTAGAGATTTTTTTTCCTCTCTTTTTCTGTATTTAGCTTTGAATAGATTGTCATCCGTAGGAAGAAAGCTACAGATAAAGTAGAATTCTACTAATCTGTACCTGTGGTGCAGGGCCATCGAGCGAGTAGATAATAGATTCTATTACTAGTAATTGAAAATGGCATCAAAATCATTCAAGGCGAGCAGATCCAATCTATCAACAGCATCATCGGATGTGCTGGAGTCGCATAATGGCAAGCCTCCGCTGCCCCCACACGTGACATTTGCTCGGAGGACTTCATCTGGCCGATATGTCAGTTACTCAAGGGATGATCTTGATAGCGAACTTGGAAGTGTTGATTTTGTGAACTATACAGTACACATGCCACCAACTCCGGATAACCAGCCCATGGATCCCATATCTCAAAGGGTTGAAGAGCAATACGTGTCAAGTTCACTCTTCACCGGTGGATTTAATAGCATTACACGAGCTCATCTTATGGATAAAGTTATTGAATCAGAAGCAACCCATCCACAAATGGCTGGCGCAAAAGGGTCGTCTTGTGCAGTTCCCGGGTGTGATGGCAATGTCATGAGTGATGAAAGGGGAAATGATATCCTCCCGTGTGAGTGTGATTTCAAGATATGTAGAGATTGTTACTTGGACGTGATCAAAACTGGAGATGGGATTTGCCCAGGGTGTAAGGAGCCGTATAAGACTACTGATTTGGATGAAGCAATGGAAAATGTGCGAGCACTTCCTCAACTCCCGCCGCCATCTGGGATGTCGAGAATGGAGAGGAGGTTGTCGTTGATGAAATCAACAAAGTCGGCACTAATGAGAAGTCAGACGGGAGATTTTGATCACAACCGGTGGCTGTTTGAAACAAAAGGAACCTATGGATATGGGAACGCTATATGGCCAAAGGAGGGAAGATTTGAGAACGGGAAAGATGATGACTTTGTTGAACCTACTGAGTTAGTGAACAAACCATGGAGACCACTCACTCGCAAACTTAAGATTCCAGCTGCTATTCTTAGCCCATACAGGTACATCCTATATCATGTTTTGTTCTTTAAACGTTATGATATGATTCTGGTTTGTACTTTTCTTTCCCATCGTTCTTGCAAAGATTTCATGATTGTGCAAAACGTCTTATCGTCCATTGTATCATCAGATCGAGGAACTGATAACGAAACTTTTTGGTTTTCCTTATAGCACCAGGGTAGTTGATTTTCAAACATATACAGAGTTGTTTGCATCCGTCCAAGACGTCTTTAAATGGGAGTTGATAATCATTTTTTTCTTGTATTCTCAACTTAATAGTGTAATTGCTAAAGATCTAGTTGTATTGAATCTCTCAGTAGAACTAGCAATGAATTGAACAGAGTGGAGAATGGCTGCATATTTATTGGGAACAAGACTTTATTGATGTTGTATTAAACTTTATAGTCTTTAGCTCAAAATTCAGACGTTAAGACACGCTTAAGCATCTTCTAATGTTTGGAACTCTCAAAAATGTTGCTGGTGTGTTTTTCACTTTTGACCTAGAATAATTGTAGCTTGAAAGACCAAGGGAAAATAGTCATTTTATCATTTCACGACCATTTGGCACACGTCACACATATCATGCGATGTTTTATGGTCCATGTACTGAGTACATGCTAATTTAAACTTTGTACCTCCCGTTTCGTCTCCGCTCACAGGCTTCTTATTGTTATACGAATGGTAGTTCTTGGGTTTTTCTTGATGTGGAGAATCCAAAACCCCAACAATGATGCTGTCTGGCTCTGGGGGATGTCTGTGGTTTGTGAATTATGGTTTACTTTCTCTTGGATTCTTGACCAACTACCAAAGCTTTGCCCCGTTAATCGAGCTACAGATCTTAATGTCTTAAAAGAGAAATTTGAAATGCCTAGTTTAAGCAATCCTACTGGCAAGTCTGATCTTCCTGGCATAGATATCTTTGTCTCTACTGCAGATCCAGAGAAAGAACCACCCCTTGTCACTGCTAATACCATACTGTCCATACTATCTGCCGATTATCCTGTTGAAAAGCTTGCTTGTTATGTTTCTGATGATGGAGGAGCACTTTTGACATTCGAGGCCATGGCAGAAGCTGCAAGTTTTGCAAATATATGGGTCCCATTTTGTCGCAAGCACAACATTGAGCCAAGGAATCCAGAAACTTATTTCAATCTGCAGAAAGATCCTTACAAGAACAAGGTGCGTCAGGACTTTGTCAAGGACCGTAGACGAGTAAAGCGCGAGTATGATGAGTTTAAGGTTCGGATCAATAGCCTGCCAGACTCTATACGGCGCCGATCCGATGCCTATCATGCAAGGGAGGAACTTAAGGCCATGAAGGAACAGAGGCAGACAAAAGGAGATGAACCTGTAGAGGTTATCAAGGTCAAGAAAGCTACATGGATGGCAGATGGAACCCACTGGCCTGGAACTTGGCAGAATCCTGCATCTGAGCACTCTAAAGGTGATCATGCGGGAATAATACAGGTACAACCAAATATTTCTGTGTGCCTGCTCTAACTTGCAATTTAAGCTCAAGACAAGAAAGCTTACTGACGGTGAAGAACAAGTGGTCGGGCATATAACTAATAACCTCTTGTTCAAATGATGCAGGTGATGCTGAAACCTCCAAGTGATGAACCACTACAGGGAACAGCAGAGGATGGTGGGGTGATTGACCTGACCGATGTTGATATTCGTCTCCCCATGCTTGTTTATGTTTCCCGTGAAAAGCGCCCTGGATATGATCACAATAAGAAAGCAGGTGCCATGAATGCTCTGGTTAGAGCCTCCGCAATCATGTCTAATGGCCCCTTTATCCTTAACCTTGATTGTGACCACTACATCTACAACTCCCAAGCCATGAGGGAAGGAATGTGTTTCATGATGGATAGAGGTGGTGATCGTCTATGCTATGTGCAGTTTCCTCAAAGATTTGAAGGTATTGACCCATCCGATCGCTATGCCAATCGCAATACTGTTTTCTTCGATGGAAACATGCGTGCTCTTGATGGGCTGCAGGGTCCAGTTTATGTCGGAACCGGATGTCTCTTTAGGCGGGTTGCTCTTTATGGCTTTGATCCACCTCGGTCCAAAGAACGTAGCCCAGGCTGGTGCAGCCGTTGTTTTGGCCGGCGGAGAAAGCATGTGACAGTTGCTAGTTCCCCAGACGAGAACAGAGCCTTGAGAATGGGCGATTCTGATGACGAAGAAATGAACCTCTCACTTTCTCCAAAAATTTTTGGAAATTCTAATTTACTGATGGATTCAATACCGGTAGCAGAGTTTCAAGGTCGTCCGCTGGCTGATCATCCAGCTGTGAAGAATGGACGACCTCCTGGTGCTCTTACTTTACCTCGAGATCTTCTGGATGCATCAACTGTTGCAGAGGCAATCAGTGTTATCTCCTGCTGGTATGAGGATAAGACTGAATGGGGACAGCGGGTTGGATGGATTTATGGGTCCGTTACAGAAGATGTTGTCACAGGATATAGGATGCATAATAGGGGATGGAAATCAGTTTACTGTGTCACTAAACGCGATGCCTTCCGTGGAACTGCCCCTATCAATCTCACAGATAGGCTTCATCAGGTCCTTCGTTGGGCTACTGGCTCAGTCGAAATATTCTTCTCCCGCAACAATGCCCTTCTGGCCAGCTCAAAAATGAAGGTTTTGCAAAGGATCGCGTACCTCAATGTTGGAATTTATCCTTTCACTTCGGTTTTCCTAATTGTCTACTGCTTTCTTCCTGCGCTTTCCCTCTTCTCTGGCCAGTTTATTGTTCAAACCCTCAATGTCGCATTCTTAGTATACCTCCTGATCATTACTGTAACACTCTGCTTGCTTGCTGTGCTTGAGGTCAAGTGGGCCGGCATTGAACTGGAAGAGTGGTGGAGGAACGAACAGTTCTGGTTGATTGGGGGGACTAGTGCTCACTTGGCTGCCGTGTTTCAGGGGCTGCTAAAAGTTATTGCTGGAGTCGAGATCTCTTTCACCTTGACATCGAAATCAGGTGGGGATGATGACGATGACGAATTTGCTGATCTCTATCTCGTCAAATGGACATCCCTCATGATCCCGCCTATCACCATTATGATGGTTAATTTGATAGCCATAGCAGTTGGATTTAGCCGCACAATTTACAGTGCTATACCACAATGGAGCCGTCTTTTAGGAGGAGTTTTCTTCAGTTTTTGGGTTTTGGCACATCTCTACCCCTTCGCAAAAGGGCTTATGGGCAGAAGAGGGAGAACTCCCACAATTGTTTTTGTATGGTCAGGACTTATTGCCATCATAATATCCCTCCTATGGGTGGCCATCAATCCTCCAGCAGGCAGTAACCAGATTGGGGGCTCATTCCAGTTTCCTTGACAGTTCCTTTTCGTTTATCACCGCAGGAGCTTCAGTAATTTCTCGTGCCATTTTGGTCGATCTCAATACCTTGCTAGCACAAGAAATTCTAAAAAATTCTCAGCCTCAATTGGATGGACTCGAAGTGAGTTTAACATAAAGCTATACATCAGTTGAATTCTTTTCTTCATTCAACATTTTATAAACAAAATACAAACTGGTGGTTTCTATTCATTGTTTAGTTTTAGGTAATGGCTTAGAGAACTTTGTAGCTTTTTGTATTACATTGAACAATATTTATTCATTTTTGATTGCTTGTTTGAGGTGGGCGACTAAGAATTCTCATAAGGTGCTAAATTTTCATTTTTGGGAGTTTTTCTGAATGAAAGCTATAATTCTTCGCTAATGTTTTGCTCTCTATGCTATCCCTACAGATTGGACATTCTACAATGCAGAGTAATGACTTCTAGTACTTTTGACATCCTTTGAGGGTTTAACTCGACTCTGCATGGTTATTGAATGCTTGCAGTTTTTTCCCTCTTTTTATGAGTTCGAACTGTGTTATATCAAGATAAATCGTCACCTACGAAAGAACAAATAAACAACAAGAATCAACCCAATGCATATCACTGGGTAAAGAGGTAGCCATACATGCTAAGTTGTACACCACTTTATTAACTTGCTAGCATTATAAAGTGACAATAAGCACACTTAATGACATCGGGATTAGCTATAACACTAACATAGTGAAGAGCATTTAGCGCAAAAGCTGCCATATTCATGACCCTTGTACCACTCTCAGTTGACTATATTAATGTGCAACGATAAGTTGCTCATCAGACGGTGAACCTCAGGAAGTGCAATCAACTCGTCTGTCTCTAAATCAAGGATTCCCATCCACAGTGTGGCACCCGCAGCATCAACAGAAACTAGGTGGTCGCAGATTACAGTCTACAGGAGCACAAGAGGAGGCCTATGAATTAGAAGTTCCTGTCACCGGGGGGCAGAAACTATTTTCCCCTATCAGTAGATATTTGTAGGTAAGAAAAGCACTCTTTCGAGTAAATTTAGTCAATAGTTCATTTCATCAAAATAATTTTCAAAATGCCTAGGTAAGTCGACAAGTCAAAGAATGTGCAGCCCAACATCTTACCGGATGAATGCGAAGAACATGCAGCCAGATCGAATGGGTATGACCAAAGCCTCTGTTCACAAATTGTCTCAAGGAAAACTTGGTTCTCCTACCATACCAGATGATGTACAAGAGAGAGCCAACTCCTTCACATTTCAATATATTTGGTATCATTATTCATGCTTTTCTCACAGCAGTACAAAATTGACTACAATCCATCTAATTCAAGGATCATGTAAAAACAGTTCCAAATCTGTAGCACAGTTAAGGAAAAGTCAGAGTGGCATAAGCGTCCTTGTGCCATTAAAATCTCATACGCTATTATTAACTTAATCATCAGAGTATAACCAGTCATCTATCTTCCACATTTTCCAACAAGAAACTTAGAACTCTCTGCTTCGTAGAAATTTTACAAGTTTTGGGTTCATACTTTTGGCATAAAACTCTACATATTCCAAAACATAAATCATCCTTAAACACAGAAACCTTTATTCATAGGATTTTGCCATAACAAGAGCTGACCAAACCCCACCCATAGGTGGGGGTCCCATTTTTTCGCGCGTAACACCCCCATGGGTGGGATTCGGTCCAAGGGGCTATCAGCTCCCCTGTTGTTATAGCAAAATCCTTATTCATAATCAACAAATTCAGCTCACAGATTATGTTAAAATAGTAAAATTAGCAAAAAGTGAATAATGGATGGAACTATTAAATTACAATTCAACCAAAATCCGAATAACTTGTTACCGAAATTGCAATGCTCGCTGAGCCAAAATAAAACGCTATTGCGGATGGCACCAAATGGAACAAATACCACATTAATGAGACGACACTTTCTCATCAATACAAGGTGCTACAAACCAACAAAATATATATCGTTTTTGTTTTTGTTTTTTCTTGTAAAACAATTATATATCTTGGAATTGAGAGACCTGTAATCTTACTGCTATTATATATATATATATATAAGAAAAAAACAAAAAACAAAAACGATTTCTGCACAACCTGCAATGTTGTATACATTAGACCTATTTTGAATTGCTGAAAGCCACAACTGGCGAGGCCATTTCAACAACCAGTTCAAAGATTCCTCAATTACAATGTCACAAGCTGTATCTCCTACATTAGAATCTAATTACTCTACACCCGACAAACGTTTCCTTGAGCGGCGAATCCGTGGTGCCTGGGCGCCTCCATGCTTACATTTTTAAATAAGACAAACAATCTGGGCATGTGACAAAAAGAATTGGGAGAACAAAAATACAAATCAGACCTTAATATAGTTTATGGGAGTGAACTCTTGGGCGACCAACCCCAGTTTAGAGTTAAAATCCAGGAAATTAGGTTACGCAGCAAGATTTTCCGATATTTACGAGTCCAGCATCTCATCTTGTATCTCATTGGGTGCGATTAGGCCAGGAATGGAAAGCATCCGTTGCCGCTCCCTTTCTTGCTGAGCAGCAGCCTCCTCCGCATAGAGATCTTTGTTGTCCTGCACCATGGTTTTATAGTTGAAATAAGACTTGCGACATGCTTATAGAGCAAGATTAAAAGACCAGATACCTTTCATGTAAAACACTAACTGTGTATTTGGTATAGGATTGCATTGTACTGAACAATATTAAAGAGGTAAAAGTACGTAAAATCTAACTTCTCCCTAGTATCAGAAGAGACATCTTCGAGCAGCATTAGTTATTTTCGAGTATGTCAACCAAAATTCATCTTAAATCATCCTTAACCTTGTACCATCCAACGGGAACAACAGGCACAACTCTTCAAGGCTTCTATAAACCTAAAGAAAGATGCACACAATTACAGAGCCCTAATCGGATTTTTCTTTCATGCTTATCCTGGACTTCTCAACTGTAACCCAAAAGATTGGACTGATAAAAAGGGAATTGAAAGGAAAAACCCAACATCTCACCACCCAAAGGACTTTAGGAAAACTAAAATGACTCATCCAAAAGTCAAAAACTCTATCCCGGACAGCTGAAGACAGAATTCATCCAAGGGGTTTTATAAATGTAAAAACAAGTTGCAACCATAAACTGAGCGTCCACAGTTGTCCTAAATTTCTTAACTATCACTTGAAAAAATTAGAGGGGGGGGGGGGGGGGGGGGGGGGGGGGGGGGGGGGGGGGGGGGGGGGGGGGGGGGGGGGGGGGGGGGGGGGGGGGGGGGGGGGGGGGGGGGGGGCAAATTGGGTCACCTGAAAAGATCCAGTAAGTAATAAATCCATGGAACATAGCGCTCGTATATAAACAACGCTCCACAAATTTTAACTACTATACCTCACTTATCTTCATATTGGGGAAGGAAGTACTCAAAAGTTTAATAGTGTATTCACGGACAAAAAAACCATTATTCGGACGATACGGAACTGTTGAGACGTCACATAGAGGCTCACTCAACGCACCAGATTCCACCTATAATAGATTCATTATGACAGCAATTAGCATGCTTATAGGCAAAAGACAACATAAAGGCGAGAAGAAACATGAGCATAAATATTACCAGGCAAAATAAGTGCTGCAGCACCAGTACATGCAATTTAAACCCAGGCTTGTGAAAGGTGTCCGTCAAAACAGCAAAAATTTCTTGTTCAATGGTCAAGAAATAACTCTGGTGGAATTGATTACAGAACTCAGAAGCCTGCAAGGTAACCACAGCAAGAGTGATGCTGCCTTTAGCATAAATTATCTATACAATACAAAACATACAGAGAAATACACACCTGAAAGTTTATCAGCATCTCCAGTAGAAGGTTTAGTCCAGTTTCAGCAACATTTCGCTCAGTGTGCCGGAAAGCCCAAACGATGGAATCCATCACAAGCTTTAATTGCTGATGCAAACCACCAGACAAGAATAAAGCACATCGTCATAAAATTGTTGTGGAAGAATATTTGAAGTGAATTGCGGTAGCTGAATTCCATATCGCTAACCACCATAAAATCACGAAGAAATTATCACTGTTTGAAGTTTAAAACGTACCTCACTGGACAATTGAACCAAAGCAGGAAAACAGTAAGTAGCGATAGCATGAAGTAATGAAAAGAACTTGAGCCGATGCTCAGGATAATCTTCAAAGTTCTTTGTAATCATCTGTAAATAGTAGTGAAGTCAACACAGAAAAATTTATGACGTAGACATTATAAAGTTGACTCGGTATCAGACTTATTCTATTAATATACATCATAAGCATGGAGTAAACTTCATTAGGATCAATCAATAACCTAACTTCATTAGGATGAATCAAGAACCTCAACTTTCAACCAATACATTTTTGTAACTCAGACAATTGTTTCTCAAAATATTATTTTCTTTCTTTAGATTCATAAATTTTCAAGCAGATAACTCATAGACTCGTTTTATAATTTCTTATTTATCTAAGTATGAATTAGTGGCCACCCAAGAAAGTGGAGGAGCTCCAAAAAAAGGAAGAGAGAAACTGGGAAACAATGGCTAACTAGAAAATGTGAAACAAGGCGACAAAAAAGTGAGGAAAAAGTAGGACAGAGAAACCAGTGAATAATGGAGAGAGAATCAATTCCAAATAAGCATACGGGTATCTGAATAAAGATGAGCGTAGAGGTAGAAAGGGCAAGAATGAATAAAGCAATGCATAGATGCTACATTTTCAACCTTATCCAATTGGGATGACAGGCAATAATTTTGAATATTTTACGTGTTGCATGCGTTAGCATATATCTACTTACACAAGTGTGTACATATAGATGTAAGTGCATGTGTGTGTTCAATGCGCAGCAGTTTGTGCATTTGGGAATGGCAGGCAATATTTTTGCATCTAATTTCAATCGGTGGAATAATCAGGAAAGCAAAGGAATGTACGGGATAGTAGCTATTAGTTGACAATTGGCATTATAAAATACTTTTACGAGGATAATACTGTTCAGAACATAACAACACTTCAAGACTCAAGAGAAAACATAAAATCACCAACCTCAAGAGTACATTGGAAAACAGCTTCAAATATGCGAGGAACATCCTCAATCATTGTCCCCTTGTATCTACACAAGTAATGAACAATACACAGAAGGAAATTAATTAACATTGAAAAAGAATCCACGTCAAATATAACTCCGACAGGAAAGATAAACATGACTAGAAAACAATGTTACTTGTTTATGATTGTAGCAAAAAGAGAAAGAACTTCTGACTCTCTTGCATCAGGCAAGTTTCGGGCATAATCACCAAGTACTGGGTCCATCATTGGAGGCACAAATTGCTTTCCAATTTGTGGTTGATCTTCAGCTTTGTCTAGAAACGTCTCTATAAGCTTCAGTGTTTCCCTCTTGACTGAGCTGTTGAAAAAAGCACAGAATCGAAATCAACTATGCCTCAGAAACAAGACATTTGATATCTGAAAACTCACCGTAGAAGTTTTACAACAGATGTTCTGGAGGCATACGGCCCTCCTTGAGCAATGCTAGTAGATATAAGCTCGCTGTACATTCTGTTGCATGGAATATAAACCCAGCAATTAAAAACTGAACTTATGGAATAAAGAGCCACAAAAAAAATAATAATAATAATAAAAAATAAAAACTTTGTAGATTCAAGAATAAATGATGCAGATATACTGAAAACCAAAATCTAGACATACCTGTACACGTTGAGCATGTCCAAGAAAATAAGGGTAATCTGTGACAAGAAATATGTTCCAAGAGAAGTGGCAGCACTTGTATTTGTCTGCCAAGAAGCATACAAAATGCACAAGAATCTGTTCGTGAGAACAAGGATGACAACACAAATGATTAAGAATTTGAAAAGTATAATAAGGGCGGGAGAGGAACAAAAATGATAAAAAATAATGCAAAATACTAATTTTCCATCAACTTATAAAGAATAATACATGTGCATGATAACAGACAAAAGTAATCATCACTGTGTTCTCTATTAGTCAACATCTACCATACATATTTAAAGATCTGAGGTTTATTCAAAAACCATACCTGCAATATATTAAGCACTGCCCTTATAACATCCGGATCTTTCAAGAAATCCACACTCTGGCGTGCCTGTCCTATAATTTCAGTCCATTTCTGCAGAAGACAATGTTTAATATTAGCCACAAGCTATGGGGCTCCAATTAAGGGACAGAAAAAGAGATGAATAATGTGGGTATCCATTTACATAAAGAAATGTGATAAACAAGGATCTTGCCTGATTAGGAAGCTGCATCAATCTTTGCAAATATTCCTCCCTCTTCTGTGGATCAGATTCTGCTTGAATCATTTGGCCAACCTAAAGAGGGAAGGTGGCAACAGTTACTTTCTCGCACAAAAAATTCTGGCTGTGACTAACATTATAACAAGAAACAAGTAATTAAAACCTTTAATGGAACCAAATACTATCAATATAAAAGAGACTTACAGATTCATAGAAAGAATGAATCTGATGAGGCTCGAGATCTGCAATAGTTGCTGCAAGGCTTGTTAAGAGTTCCGATACAAAAGGTTCATTTTCCCCCACCTGGAATTATAAGACGAACTCAAATGTTTTTGTTATCATCATGTTATTGATCACGATTCATAAACCCTAAGGCAGCATTTTTGAGAAAGATCAAAAGCAACCTAACCTGTGTGATAACAAATTTACGCTTGCACTTTTGAACAATTTTCAAGAATGTGTCACAGGCCATGTCCTAAAAGAAAAAAAGTTAAAATATCAGAGTGTAGGAGACATCCAAAAAAGCGATAAAATCATGTAAAGGAAGCATCTCCACGACATGAAGACACGGATGAAAAGTGCACACTTTTCATATGAAATTGAAAAAATAAAAATAAAGAATCAACCTGAACTCCTGGATGTGTTTCATGCATGAACTCAAACAACTTATTCACAACTGTTTTCAAGAACTTCCAGTGGGCCCTCAGAAATCTCGGGTACTGCCCAACCACATACCTAGAAATCCAAGAAATTAGAAACGGGATAAGTTTTCACTAAATTGTAGAAGAAACCTCATGCTGAATTCAATTGGTGCAGTTGAGAATTTAGGTAGTAATAAAAAACTTAATGTCATAATTCTCACATTATATTACTAGCAATGACGGCTTTGTTATCTTTCCCTTTGGTGATTTCACAAAGGTTCAACAAATCACGAATCACCATCACAAGAAATCTGTTTTCCTGCCAAAAATGTAAGTACCACCATCACATGATTTGTAACAAAATGGAGACAACAATCACAGTATTGACAAAAGGATTAAATTGATCACAATTTAAAAAGTTGAAACCCAAGAAGAATAACACAGAGAACAACAATGGTATCCTGTGAAATACCAATTCCAATAGAATAGGCAACAGAGCGGATTGAAGGTAAAATCTTCAGAGTTTAAAGGTAATGCAAGTTGAACTCACATATGCTATGACTTTTAGATGGATATCTAATTAAGCAAGTATTAAGCCATTTATAAGTCATGGACTACTATGACATCTAAAGTTTAACTTCAATGGGAGATAATATTCGAAAGATGGAAGAGGCAATAAAAACAAAGGATATGAATATATACAAATAAAAAATTAACCTTAAGCTAATATATAAAAAAAAAAGCCTCGTGAGTCATGCCTACTCCAAAATTAGCAACATAATAAATATAAAGAGACTGATTAGAGCATTCGACTCTATGATTAAAGATGGACAAAATCCGACATAAGAACAACGTTAATAGAGGGTACTAATCAGTCATGCCTTAAGCCAGACAAAAGAAATATTTAAAGACAAATGTGGTACCTGCTCCTCAACCATTGACCCAGATATAGACCCAATAGCCCAACACAAGGTGTTGAGGTTGTTCCAGGTGTAATCCTCTCCATTTAGTTGTTTGCTTAATTTCTCTAACATCTGTATCCATACACAATTAAAACAATACATTAGATTAATTAATCATCTGTATCCATATCCAAGAATTAGACATTGTACAAGTGATAAAGCTTAATCTACTAGAAAAGGTCGTCCAATTCTATATTGACATAGGAAATGGAGCATAATAAATATATCCAAAAGAGGAAGGATTAACAATGCAAAAGAATAAAATGTTCCCTAAAAATTGAGAAATGTGGTGTAATGTTAGTATGACAAGCATAAACACAATATAAACTTCTTTGGCAAGAGATGACAACAAAACATTAAGCCTTCCAAAAATGGATCAATGTGAAGGATGTAAAAATGGCATGTTCGAAGTCTCAGATATTATATGAAACACCAATCAATATTTTGAAATTTCTTTCACTGAAAAAGGATACAAAGAGTTAACTGACTCTCTTCTTGTACTTAAAAAAGGATAATCACCAAATATTTCCATTCCATTGAGTTACCTGACTCTCTTTCTGATATGAAAAAATTAAATACTTGAAATTCCACCTCAATGCAAAGAAACATCATCAATAAGCATTTACCAAATATATGAAGTGAACTATCATAAGCTGTTAGATAAATTGCCATTACATGTTCCTCTAAACAAAGATCAACTGTAAACTCAAGCCTTGTCATAATTCACCCCCATAACAGTAAAAATAAATAAACATCTATATACTAGATACTGGTTGACACATTGAGTGGTCAGCTTATACTTAGACATAGGCTAAGAAATTAAAGCACACACAAAGAGAGAGATGTTGCCAGTAACCACACCTGCTTTTCAGTATCCACATGATCAAGATGTGCCAAGTAGATCAGTGTTTCCTTCATTATCTGCCAATTGTGAATCATCAACCGAGTGAACAAGATCATATATGAAATCCCGAAGCAAAATTAGATGAAATATGATGTGAATTAGCAATACAGTTACTCCACAAGCATATAGACAAATCTTCATCAGCACAAAGCATTTCATATTATCTATGTCACACTCCATCTCAATAAAAAACAAACAAAAAATAGTAATTCTTTACTGCTCATTTCAAGTCTTGTGCATATTTTAATTTTAATTTCTGGCAATGACGAGCATGCCTAAATTCTAAATAGAGAGCTCTAGAAACTACCTAAAAACCACGCTAACAAGGCCGTGCAACTATTTCTCATGAGGAAACTTGAGTCTTCAGCAAAAAAATGCATTAAACACGTCATGCTGCAGACTCAAATAGTGCACATGAGGGACAGAGGATCTGTTAGATGAATAACCATCCAAAAGAGAACCCCACCCAGTCAAACAACTAAAATGCTTTCCATTTGCATGTTTTTCCTCAAGAAATCAGCATTGAGGATACTTAAAATGATCTGTTGGATATGGTTTTACAGTCCCCTTTTCACCAAAAAGGTCAGGCACTGTACAACCTAACACACAATAAGCCCCCATTTGGCCCCCATTTTGGGGAAATAAAAATGGGTGGAATAGTGTTTTTTTGAAAAATGAGTGGTTGAAAAAGAAAGAAAAGTTTCTGGTTTACATGTAATATTATTTTATGGAAAGATTGTGTGGTTGAAAATAAGAGAGAGAAAAATGAAATTAAAAGGGGCCAAACGGGTGCTAAATAGACCTTCCAACTGTAGACAATGTCAACCAGAAGAACTTTGCAAATGCATTCTGAGAGGCTAGTAATAAGGGATCGCAATAACTTCTTACACACATTAGGGTTATCTCATTTCAATTGTTCCACTGGAGCATGAACATCATCAGGCAAAAGATGTTGGAGAATAATGCACACAAACATAAATAGGTAAATAGTACGTATTGATTAATTATTGATGTTAAAAACATATTTCAATTTTTCAGCTTTTCCAATTGATCTTCTTTTCAATAAGAATGAGAACCTTGTATTGCAGGAGGACATCATTGTCTTTCATAGTTTCACGAACTATATTTCCATTTTCATCTTCAACAATCAGAACTTCTTCTGGCTTCGCCATGCGACATATTGTAAGCAATCTCAACTTCGACATTGGAACAGCATAAAGTTGTCGCCTCTGCATGATTTGTGAATCAACCATAGCCGGAAACATCTGATAATTCAATACAAAAATCAGGCATCAGCAAATTCTTGTAACAACTATCTTACCTTCGATCGCTATCCAAAGATTGGCCATGCAGTTCTTCGAAAGTGCAGGACAATTTCTAAGAAGCCATAATCGTTAGCTGACCAAATTCACTAGCAACAGCTTTAAGAGAAGGGAAAACTTATGAAAATTACAGTGCATGAATGGTGCTTTCTTACTAACAATGATATACACAGCCTTCTTTCTTAGATATGGCTTACGCTCCTCATACCATGGTATCTTCATGAGAACCATCACATCATAGCAATTGAATCTCTACACTTCTCAATATTCAGATCCATTTTGAGAAACCTACTTTATTTCATTTTCTTTTCATTCGGCAGTCATCCAAGGACACGCACAAGAAGAAAAAACTATCTAAACAATGCACCTAGTAGAACTAGTCCTTCAAAGTCTTCAACTTTAAAACTGGAACCTATATGCATCATATAACCAACAGGAAAACAAGACTATGACTTTCAACCTCACTCAGGAAAAAATGATGGATTAGTTATATTCAAAGATCTAAAACAAGAGAAAAGATGAAAAGGGACTAAAGTAATATATAGCACCTTCAATCCCATCATGTTTGCGGCTGCTGCAAGATTTTCCTGATTATGATGAGCTTCAAACAGCTCTAAAACCAGTGAATTCCAATAGTCCAAGCAAACCTGACAAATCAAATAAACAGCAACTTAGTTGTTATTAGAACCAAAATAGTGATAAAGTTGGAAAACACAGTGGATGTGCAATAACAGTACCTTAAAAACCTCAGTGTCATCCACATATGAGATATTAATGAGATACTCAAGACCCATTAATAGCGCATTTATGTTCTCTGGCGTGGATTCCAGCACTCTAATATGAGACTGCATTGTCCATCATATAATAGTTTAGGACGATTTTAGGAAAAAATATAAATTGCAATGCTCAAGGCTCCAATTTGTTTAATAACAAAAGAAATTCAATAAAGTTGCAGACTCGGATATGAGGTTTAGGAATGCCAGAAATCACACGTATAATCTTAAATCTTGTGCCTGTAAACATCTGAAGAAGTGATATACAATTATGAATGAAGAAATTCACTCTCTCATGAAATACTTTCTGCCAAAGAAACAGCAGAATCAAATCTCATTTTGAACTGAAGAGAGTAATCTGTAGGAATGGGCCATCTAGTGCATATATTACCACATTTAAATAACAAATGATAGCCACTAAAACATTACATGTTTCTGGACACACTTAGTTAGCCCCTGTTTGGGATCCATTATGATGAGTTTTGGGGTTAATGTTAATGTATTTTGGAATAGTGATTTTTTTGAAGAATGGATGGTTAAAAAAGAAGGAAAAATTTTGGGTTTACGTGTAATATTATTTTATTGGAGAACGTGTGGTTAAAATGAGAGAAAAAAAGTATTAAATTATAAAAGAGACCTAACAGGGGGTTTAGCGGTCACACAATGTAATGTAACAGCAATATTAGATAAAGCTCAATTATGTTCACAAGCGTTCGGGCCAGAAAAGAAACCAAAATGGGATGAACCTAGGAGGAATTCATAAATCTGAGGGGGTATTAAAAAATGGCATTTGCTTAATTTGCATTCAACAAACAAATTGTAAAGTAAGTTTACGATCCATAGTAGGAGTTGAACAATACAAATTGACTATAATATTTCTTTCACAAAAAAGCGACTTCGTTTGCTCATTTCATGCAATTTTTGTATTGTTTCATTCAATGAAAAGCAAATTAATTCGTCCATTGGAGCTTTCTTAATGTCTGTGTTCACTTTCTATTGCAGAGGGAGAGGCATGGAATAACCTTGTAAAATGATGTGAAAAACAAAGCCAAGTTTTGAATAAATGCCTGAGAAGAAAAAAGACAAGTAGAATCAATATATAAGAGGCTATAAAAGTAGAGCAGATGTCATAAAACTAAATTCTCACCTGCTCCTCAGTGCTGCCATTCAAGTAAGCCACTGGAATATTAGTGCTGGGTGGGAGGATGTTCTAATCAGCCAAAAAGATTGCATATTAATCAGCATAAACTTATTCAATTACATCAATATTGTCATTTAAACATTGAAGACTAAGCTCCAAATACAATTTATTCAGACCAAAGAGATAAGTCTGTCACTTCAAAAGAGTGAAAGAACAAATCAAACGTACAGAAATTCTCTTCGCGTACCTGCAATTGCACCATGAATATGCTATAAATATTAGCATACTGCATGTTATAGAAATCACCAAAATTGAGAGCAGCAACCTGTGAACATTAACACATGCAACATCCAAGATTAATTTTAGGATGAAATGCTCCATTGCTAATTGCATCAGGTGACAGTAGAAAAAAATCATACCTCGGTCAGGCACTGAAGGGTGAGATTCCGATAAGCCGGGACAGGGAAAAATTTAAGGAGTGTTTCAAGCTGTCATACAAAAGAACAAACTGTGGGTTTGAAATACTATTGAAAATGTATAAGAACATCAAAACCACCAAATTCCAAGCACAATGTGGTTAGTTGAAAAGTCCACAACGCCATTACTCCACAAGATAATTAATAAGAAGAGAAAATAAGTTGCCAACCAGAGGTGATTCAAATATATAGCCCAGAGGAATCCATGAAAGGAATGCATGCAATGTCGCCAGGGTAGCCCTGATAAGCTCTGCTCTTTGAGATGCTGATAGAACGTATAAGCATAACTCATGAATAAGCTTGAATTCACTGTGTAGAGACAAAAAAAATTCTCATAATCAGAAAAAAGGAATGAAAGTAATGGACGATCGACATGCAATAATCTTGTCAAATAGAATTCTTCTGGAATGAAGAGCTAAACTAGAAGCAAATTTTCAAGAATTTAGGTGCTCACATGCATACAGAAATAATATTTTGTAAACAAATCGAACTGGCATCTACATCCTGATGCTACTATAAGTTGAATACATAGCCCTTGTTTGAGCCCCCCCCCCCCCTTTTTGTTGGGGGGAATGTATTTTTGAATAGTGTATTGATGGAAAATATGTGGTTAAAAAATAAGGAAAAGTTTTGGATTTGTGCGTAATATTATTTTATTGAAGAATGTGTGATTAAAATAATGTCAAAATGCTGTTTAAAAATACATTTTCTTTCCAAAGAATGGGGCTCAAACAAGGACATCGAATGTGACAATCAACAGACCACCAAAGAAGACTTAGTTGTCAATTAACTATACATCAAAAGATGTAATTTCAAAGAGAATAGATCAAATTGTAACCTGTTTAGTGATTGTTTCAACTCTTTAATCTTCTGTCGAGTCATTTCACCTCTTGAAAAGTCGAAGACCTCTTCGCTTAGAAGCTGACAAGTAACAACTCTGTCAACTGCATGCACTTTATTAAAAAAAAAAAAGGAGAGATGGGACTACTGACTTACTTTCAGTATAGCCATGCAATTCTCACAAATAGTTTCACTTGTTTTTGCAGCTGCAACTAAGTCTGGAACAAAACTTTGCCACCTCGCTGGCCACTCATGCTTCAGAATCTATATATGTAGACAAATAGCACAATAGATAACACAAATAGCCACCAAGCAGGATCATTTTGATGCATAAATAAGTGAGTGCAAATACAACTGAATGCCCCATTAGTGAGCGCATTTTGGGAAACGGAACTATATTACCTGGACCAATGAAGTATTGAGCTTGTTGACATACAGCCTCTCCCGCCGAAAAGAGATCTCGTCACTTGAAAGCTAAGCTCAACAATCAAGTAGTGATAAAAGTTCAGAATTCACGCTCTTCATTAAATATGCAACAGAGAGAACGCATCATTCAATTTTCCCACCAAAAGGGGGTAATCATACCTTAACTATAACTTCAGAAATATAGTTCTTCATGCCATCCCGTTGTTCAATAGGCAAAGCATTCCATCTGTATTTGATAACACCTTCTAGAACCTGTATATGGAAGTTAAACAAGTGACCACTATCCTCATTATCTACAAATATTGTAAAAATACACAATTTCAGCTATTTGCATTGATGTCCTCTGATCGGGAGGTCAATGACCAAAAAGATACAATTCGCCAATGTAGTAATCAAGACACGAAGATTAATGGCAAGAAAGAAGTTTCTCCATTTTTTGTCAGTTTTGGGTCCGCCCCACTGCTTCAAAGGGCAAGACTGAGTAGCAATTTACAAATAATGGAAGACAAATCTCATCATTCTAAGCTAATCTATGAGAGGGGGAGATCGTTCATAAATTCCATATATCTGAATGATTCAACAAGTTAAGTTGAATCATCAATCCTGCATTGGCAGCAAAGATTCATTGTTCCACAGTCAATGGGATCCAATCAAAGCCTTTAATGACTAATGAGAAACCATGAAGCCTTAAGATAGCAATTCTCATGTGAGGAGACCACACGCACAGTCATGAGGAGATTCAGTTGCAAACAATAATCAGAAAATCTAGTAATCATAACATGGCACAGTTTTCAGAACTAAGCCAACTATTAAATTCGGCAGCATAAATAGCTTTTGCATGCAGGTGAAGCACAAGGGGTCTTTTCTCTAAGATTGAATAACCCAAAGCTACAATATGACAGTTTTGTGGAGGAGATTAGCTGGTTAAAAATCATGCAGTCATATTATTTTTGAATGCAGAAAGTCATTTATAAAGGTAAAAGTCAAGAACAAAAATATTGATCTCAACCCCCCCCCCCCAACCATTTAAACAGAGGCATGCATGCACTCGACAATTCAACAATAAGTCAAGTCATAAATGAAGTTAAAAAGGCTAAAAATGCAAGAGTGCTCGTGCAACGAACCTGCAAAGCGAAAAATTTGGTATTCAAGTTCTGCGTGTTAGATAGAATGTGAACAACTTGAAGCCACATATCGGGATTACTTTGCAAATCTCGCAAGATATGGTCAGCAGTAGTCCTCTGCGTCATAAAAAGGGACAAAAAACAACAAGGATAGTAAGTTCTAACATGGACATAATATTCATAGCTACTGCATGTAATGCCAACAACAGCACAGGATATGAATTACAGCGCTATGTTCTCTTATATTCCATTCCCTCTATACACCATGTGCCCTTGATTTCCTTCTCAAATAGTTTCTGACTCATTTTCATCTCTGTCCCGGGCACGTGCAAATCACGTGCACAGTGAGCTAAGGTCACCATTCACTGTTTACAACGTCCGTAAAATTCCATTTCACTCAATCTCAAGTGAACCGAACAAAATACTCATAATCAACTTAATAGCTCAGGAACTAAATAACAATAATTTGAAAATGAGCCAGCTCCTAGTACCATATCTTAATTTCACCGAGTCTTATGGAGGAGGCTATACCCATTCAAAAGTCCGAATAGCACCACATTTGCTACTAATTTTTGAATAAAAATTACACATATACAGACAAAGGTGAATTGTGGATAGATTAAAAAAGGAACGAGAAAAAGGTAGAGGGAAAGCATTAGAGACCTCTTCTTTAGACCCGGTGCCATAGAAAGCGGCAACAGTGGCATCAAGTAAAGCAACATCAATGGGTTGACTCAAATCGCGAAGCTTCTCCGCCGCCATTGAAAGATTACCACTTTTGTCTCTTGCGGTTAAACCCTAGAAACTCCTGTACGGACCGAAAGAGGTGTACGTAACTTGTGCAAAGAGGGTTAAAATTTGAAATCAAAAGAACAGCTTCAAAATGACGCATAGAGGTTTAGAGGGAGAAATATATCTACATAAAGAGAGCGGGGGCGCTTTGAAAATGATTAATACTTCCCTCCCATTTTAGAGAGAGAGAGAGAGAGTGGAGCGTGTGCATATTAGACTGTACGTGATATTTTGAGTTTACTGTGAGTTTATTCCTTTTTCCACTCTCCTATTTTTAATCACAAAATCTTCTATAAAATTATATTTCACATAAATAAAAATATTTTTCCTCTTTTTTAATACTCATTTTTCATAAAAATATTATTTCACCTATTTTCATTTTAAAAAAATGGGGACTAGATATGAAAAGAGGGTCAATGGTGGGACTAGCATGAACTGGTGTTTGTTCTCATTTATAATGTAACGAAAGTAGTAAGAAATAAAATCCGAAATACAAAACTTATTTATCGTCCCTCCATCCTATAAAGATAGTTTTATTTCTTTTTTCACACAAATTAAAAAATTTAATCAATAAATTGAAATAATAAATTTGTCTATTATTTTTTTAATATATCCCTACATTGATGAAATTAATATTCTAGGTAATTAAGTTATGCATGTAATATTTGAGGTAACTAAACTATATATTTGCGATGACAAAGCACATTAGGCATATTAGAAAACTAGTATATTAACTACGCTCTCAAATAAGAAACGGGACCATAATTTGATACGAACGAAAAAAGAAAATATGACTATCTTTATGGGACGAAATGGAGTAATTAATTTGGCAGACATATACTGTGAACTCGTGAATCGCTTTATTCTCATTTTGAGTATGAATCGACAGTTACCACCTCAACAAACTAATAACTCAATGATGTTGATTAAGGGGTGTGTATTCAATTGAGATTTTTAATGATTTTTTAGAATTTAAAAATTTAGAGGTATTTAACTGAGACTTTTTAAGACTCTTTAAAAGTTACGGTGTATTCAATTGAACTTTTATAGATATTAAAAAGTCTCTAAAAGTTATAGCGTGTTCAATTAAGCCTTTTTAGAAACCTCTAAAAGTCTTGCGATATTCAAATTTTAATGACTTCTAAAGACTCTTAGGAGTACTAATTTTTAAGCAGAAAGCACTCATATAAAATCTTAAAATTTATCTCTCATTAATCACGAATTTTTGGAAGTCTTTAATATATATATATATATATATTCAATCTTTCCTTCTTTTAACCTATGTACATATATAATTAAAATTTATTTTTTTCGATTGATTATATTCCATTTATCTTTCTTTCTCTCTCTTATTATTTATTTCTATTTTATATGAAAAACTAAATTGGATTCTTGTAACTTTTTTTATTCAATTTTTTGGTGAAAAATATCCATTTTTTTATTAAAATATAAAATTTTAAATGATTTATTTATTTTTAAAAGTATACTATACTAATAATATTGAATCATATATATGTGTAATTTTGATTATTTTTATTTAACTAAGGTCTTAAATTTTTATTTTTTTCAATTTTCTTTTTATTATATGGAAAGAAGGAGGGGAAGAAAAATGGGAATTGTGGAAACTAACACCTTGTGTATGAGAATTTTATATCAGATCCATGTAAATTCTATTTTAAATGAAAGTCTTTTGAATTACAGAAAAGTCTATAAAATTTTTAAAATGAAAATCCATACAAATCTACGAAATATTTCCACTAATTCCATACAAATTTATAAAAGATCCACGAAATTCACAAAAATTATCACTTAAAAAAAGTCCATCAAAATTTTTAAAAATCGCAATTGAATATACTCCCCTAAATTTCTTCATTTCGCACCAGTTTGGGAAGTTACTTTACCCAAAATAAATAAAAAATAAAAAATCTTATATGCTACTCATGAGCTCACCCCATACGCTTATTATGTAAAAAGTGTGTCCCCCTTGCTTGCTTACCTTTGGGGATACGCTTTGCCTTGTAGCATTTAAATATTATAAGAGTTACAAAGAAATGTGTGTTTGATTGAAATGTAATTTGTTTTTTAGAAAAAAAAATTCTTATTTTGAAAAAAACAAGACCTACTATTCCAAGAAATATATTTTTCTCAATAATAAGGAAAATTTGGCATATTTTCAAAAGTTAAAAAAAATTCATAAAAAAATAACAATCAAACGCTTTAAAAGTTTGAGTTCAAAATGAAAAAAGCCATTTTCTATGGAAAATTTTCAATCAAACACATTCTAAGTATTTTTTTTTTATTAAGCCTGTTACATGTGACTCCACGTGACCGACCCACTGTAGCCCTTGGCCACTTCAATACGAAGCACTTTGCATAGTGCCCAAAGCCCTGAAACCAATGAAGAATGCATCGCAATCAATGCATCAGCCAAAGCTAGGCATCATGAATTCCAAGACCATTAGCCGAAGTGGTTGAGTCCAAGGCCCTTATGCCGAAGCTTAAGCCTTCGAAGCACCCCATCGTGCCACTTCCTTAAAGAGATCTATTCTTACAAGTATCTTCTTTGAATGATTGATGGGATATTTGTCATAGAGTTTAAGTGTCAAGTTTTATTGATAAAAGTGACGGCTTTGCATGGTTAATAAATGCATAGCAGACTAGCGAATCAAAAGTGATGCCTAGGATTATATATTTGAGTTAATGAGATAAGGCCACGATAGAGGGTCACAATTCAATTTATACCACTATAATTACTCTCCTATATAACTCCTACAAGACTAATGCAACTTTAAGTTTAAAAAAAACACTACACATCAATTTCACTCTCTTTCATATACCACTGAGTTTACATAGCATTCAACAACTACGATCAGTAATTATCATACAATTGTTCCATAAATATATTGTCGAATTCCAAATGTTGCCATCTCGTACCTTTGAGTCACTCCTACACCCCTTCTCAAACCTTTCCAGACGGTCTGGTTGTCTTAGCATGTTGAACTTGGCTTATGTGTGAGCGATTGTGTTCAGAATCTGTTGTCCACATTATCCCAACTGGAAACGAGATCAACAAAGCCCCTATTTGACGGGGATTAAAATCATATTTTTAATAGATTTTGATAAAAGTTAACGAAACGTGTGTTTGAAAATTTGTGAAACCCTATAAAATATGTGATTGAAATTAACTGTTGACTTTAACTTAATTTGTACAAAACAGGGGCTAAATATTTTGAATATACATTTCTACTCTCTTATACTTACTCATGTTATCTTCTTTTAAGCCCTTCGGGTAAAAATTATTTTAAACTTTTTTTTTGGGGACTTATTTTCAATCATATGCCATCTCAATAAAATAATTTCACATGGATCCATAGTTTTTTCCTAATTTTAACCAAACATTCTTTGCAAAAAAAAAAATAACTTTCACAAAATTTATTATCAAAAAATTTACATCAAACAACATCTGAGCCTTCAAAATTATAAATATATATAAGTATGGCCATTTCAAACATGTTTAGAGCATGGTGTCATAGACTGCGGTTGATGAGTGTGATGCCGAATCACGTGACCATTGGGGAGGCACACACGTGTTAAGCTCACTGAAAGTCGTGGAGCCAACACATTCATGCAGTTAGTAATTGAGTTTTGAGAAGTCATTCATATGGGAGCTTCCCTCGGATGTGTTATGAAGCTTCCTACCAAATGTAAAGTGACTCTGAGTCCTTATGACAAGAAAAACATATCATCGTTTAATTGGAAAATGACACATCAAATGGAGAAAATGTAGCACAATGGCTTTGTCATATTTCAATCATATTGTGAGAGCAATCTCCCTGTGGACAAGCATATGTTGAGGTTATAACTTAGAGGAACCGATATCAAAAGCTTCCTCATAGCTCGTTGATTCATGGGTGTGCGAAGTTAATGATACATCAATACCCAAATGAGTTATTGAGACAAGCACTCCATTAAATCACGTGCATTGGCCATGGGTCTAGATTTACCATGGGTTCCATTGCTTTACATGTGATCGTGGGTAACACAACATGAAACACAAATAAAAGCTGGATGTTGTCATCTTGGATTTTCGATATGGTATGATGGCACTTAAGTAAAATTTGGACGAGGCACTATTGGAGGACATCATGGCATGCAATAAATCTAATTAACCATATGAAGCGTCAAGTGCAAGGTTTCATTTTTTTGAGCATGCGATTAACCATCAATGCTCGAGAATCAACTAGAGTGCTCCTTTTTTTCAGCAAATTATACATTGCACTCAAGCATGGTGAGTACTCGAGGAAGATGGAACATCAATTAAATGCACTGTAAAAACGTGAGTGCATTGGCACCAATAAGGGGACATGTTATGGTGAACATGTTAATTAAACTACGTGGGCAAGAATAGGCAACAAGTCGTGATTACACTTGAGATGGCCAAACATTGGCTTAAGGTAGAGCAGTTTGGAGTGTTGCACATGTAAAAATGTACTATAATAGAGTTCCAATCACTTCGTGGTAAAACAACTCAAAAAGAAAATCATCTTGTTAAATAAATAAGACGCTGGCTATAGAATAGAAATTAAAAATAAATAAATAAGTAATGCTAGTTATCTGTAGTGTTCTAACTATCATCAGCTATGCCTACTACTGCAAAGATGGGAATAAGATCATATTTTATTCAGCCACCCTTAATGTACCGAGGAGGGGGTTACAGAACTCCTTCAAACAAGACACAAGGGTAAGGGGGATGATTTTTATTTTGGCATTATTTTATTCACATGGGGTGCTCCATGTGAGATTTCTTCTGTAAATTTCATTTCTGTACAAAATGGAATAATACTATTTTATTATTCTTTGAAAAATGTTAAGCCCCTATCTCTGTTCCATTAAAGTGTGTTTTTGGAGAAAAATGGGAACAAATATATTTTTAAATGGTGATTTTTTAAAAAATGTGTGGTTAAAAGAATAAAAAGTTTGAATTTACATGTAATATTATTTTATTAAAAAATTTGCAATTAAAAAGAGGAAAGAGAAAATTTTTTTTGAATAAAATGAAACCCAATCAGTGGCCGGTTGGAAAAAGATTTTTTTACCCCTCTTTGGCCTCCATTTTGTGAAAATGAAAATGAGTGGAATAATATTTTTTTTGAAAAGTGAGTGGTTGAAAAAGAAATAATTTTTTTTGATTTACGTATAAT